CGCCCACCCTTCCTGGGTCCTGTGTCATAGTTACTACCTCTACATTTTCAGAAAAGCTTTAGACCCCATTCACATGGACGTTTTGCCACGCTGCCAATTGCAGCATCGGGATTTTATTGATTTCTGCTACTGGGATTGACAGGCGCATGCAGATAGCAGCAGTCGTCAAGTCCAAACACTGCAGTGACAGGCTGTCGGTGGCTGCAGCTATTAGTGCCTGTTCACACAGCCAGTGATCACCGCAGCTACGTGCTTCTATTTCCTTTACCTCCCTGTCCAAGGAAAAGACCGACATCTTCACCTTGATGCCTACACATGTGTATGGCCCTGCACTCTGGTTGGCTGATGTTAATGTTAACCTCTTCACGCCAGCCGAACGCAAATGTGCTGCCTCCCGGCGTCTGGGCCTAGACGCTGAGCAAATTTGTATTCTATTAAAAAAGAACATATGTGCTGAGAGCGCGCACCCTGCGCGCTCCCAGCACACATGTCTGGTACTCATGGAAAGGTCCCGATTTCCTCTTTTGATCGGGACCTTTCTCGGTCATGTGACGGCGTGTCAAGGCGGTCACATGACCCTAAACCCCGCCCCATCTCCCAGCTTCTGAAACCCTTAAAGGGCCAGGAGGCGCCGGCGTGAAGGGGTTAAAGGATGAGCTCTTTAGCGGGCAGCAGGCGGTTTCCCTGCCATATGTTTTCCAAGATTTGGAATATTAGGAAAAATGGAGCACTTGATGTCCAAAAGAATGCACTTTTGATGACAGATTAAGAGGTATTTATTGAGAATAACGACAAGTACATCAAACCAACACGTTTCGGGACAAAGGACTCTCCCTTCTTCAGGGCTGTTGCTGCACACTATTAAATGGAAAAGATTCCCATGCCAGTTATATATTTTCCAGGTTTCGGAGGAGAAACTGACAGAGTGGTTTTCCTCTGGCATGGGAATCTTTCCCATTGATTAGTGTGCAGCAAAAGCCCTGAAGAAGGGAGAGTCTTTTCTCCCGAAACAAGTTGGTTTGATGTACTTGTTGTTCTCAAAAAATGCCTCCTAATCTGCCAGCAAAGTGCATTCTTGTGGACATCAGGCGTGCCTTCTTTCCTATTACTCCAAGTGTACATGTGGAAACGACCTTAAGGCCGTACCAGAAAGGCAGCAGCCCAAATCCTAAGAGGGTTTACTGCCAGTATCCACCATTGGGCACAACTGACTGGAGGGACATCTCCCTACCCACCCACACACCCATCCACCCACCCAGCCCAGCACAGTCATCCATTTGCTAATAAACTATTTCTCCCCATGGTGGAAAGGTAGTAACAAATATTCAAGATTACTTGCACCTCTTCAGCATCACCATCTTTTATTATCTTGAATGTGCTCAGATGTGTAGAAGATCTAAAGACCTGCCAGATATCTGCACATGTATGTGGCATTTTGCACACGTGTGGTTTTTGACGGTGAAGCTTGTGGGTGCTCTGTGGGTTTTTTGTTGGGGTGCAGAAACCCCGTGTACACAGATGTGCTGCAGGTCTTTGCCATATCTGCATAAATGCAAAATCTCATGGTGCGCATGCACTCAGCAGCACATGGTGGAGGATCCCAGGAGGCAGCTTGGTCCAATGCCATTCTGAGCTAGGCCATAAACAACACCCAATTCTTTAAAAGCGAGGCAGGAGGAATGAGGAGAAAGCTAAAGAGGTTTTTATGGGTAAAGCGTTCCAGGTGTGGCCTAAGCACAATGGGGTACCATCAAAATTCTTCTGTAGGACCCCAAGGTTTGAAGCTATACCTCTGCTTGATCTCCTTCCACAAGGCCAAACATGGCATGGCTCCCTTGGCTCTGGATTCTCTGTCTCCTGGTATAGTAGGTAGTGTAATGGGAATGCGTACTGAACCCTCACAAGTTGTGTGAATGGGCAAGGATGCCATGTTGTACAGATTGCAGCCATTGTCTTCCCCCCAGCCCGGACACCACCCCCCATTGACTTCTCCATCATGTCCAACAACGTCACCATCAAACCCGCCCCGCAGGCCAGAGTACTTGGTGTCATTCTGGACTCCAACCTATCCTTCCAGCCCCAAGTCCAATCTTTAACAAACTCATGCAGACTCCACCTCCGCAACATCGCCAAAATCCGCACGTTCCTAACCCCAGAAACCACTAAACAGCTCATCCACTCCCTCATCATATCACGACTCGACTACTGCAACTCCCTCCTCACTGGCCTGCCTCGCCGCTGGCTATCCCCGCTTCAGTCGATCCTGAATATGGCTGCCAGACTCATTCACCTTTCCAACCGCTCCGTTTCCGCCACCACCCCCTCTGCCAATCCCTCCACTGGCTTCCGATTGCGCAACGGATCAAATTCAAAATCCTAACACTGATGTACAAAGCCGTCCACCATACTGCCCCGAACTACATCACTGACCTAATAGCCAAGTACCGCCCAACACGCACACTCCGCTCCTCACAAGACCTCCTTCTCTCTAGTTCCCTGGTCTCCTCCTCCCATGCCCGCCTCCAGGACTTCTCCAGGGTGTCACCCATCCTCTGGAACTCCCTGCCCCAACCCATCAGATTATCACCTACTCTCCTCTCCTTTAGGCGCACCCTGAAAACCCATCTCTTCAGGGAAGCCTACCCCACCCCCTGCTAACCTGCCGAACTCCTCCACTCTTCCTACCACTCCATCCCCCACAGCTATCTCCTCCTGTGCCACCATCCCCTCCCTCCTAGATTGTAAGCTCCAAGGAGCAGGGCCCTCGAACCCCTCATGTTTTGCATTGTATTGGTATTGTTCTGTCACATGTTCTGTCCCCCTTTGTAATGTACAGCACTGAGCAAACTATTGGCGCTTTATAAATACTGTATAATAATAATAGTAATGACAGTTTGTGACACAATTTGGTGAATAGCAGCATTGGTTACCTGCTCTTCACCCCCCCCCCTCCCCAGGAAGCCTCTGGTGCAATACACAAACTGTTAACTGATGCCAGGATCAATCCATTGATCAGACACACAGACCTCTCCCATTACTCAATCCACAACTTCAGGCTAGAAACCATAATAAAACTGTCACCCTTGGCAGCTTGAGCAGTCTGGAGAACTAACAGACATTGGGTCATAAATTCCTTAGTGGGAGGCTGTGGAATACACATGTCTGATAGATTATCAGCCAAGATTCTAAAAATTCAGCATGCCCCATAACTTATGAAATACAATAGGCACAGCCATAGTAAGGCGTTATTTCCTTCTCTCAGTTATCGGGTAGCATTTTGAACCTAAACATCCCTATGCTAGGAGGTAGCAGAGTGGATTATGCCTCCACACCACTCCTATCAGAAATGAATGTCCAAGACCTGCCATATTTATATCCATTTTGAAGCTAAATTCATGCTGGACAAAAATCTGCATGGTAGCAGACTGTAAATGGTAGGTATTCAGTAATATAAATATAATAAATAATTACAAATATAAATACAGTAATATAAATACTTCTAGAAAACTGTATTTGGGACTTGGTCATAAACATGGTGACCTCCCAACACCCACCCCTTAAACCAGATAATTGGGCAGATGGTCACTGTCAACACCCCATTGATATCACAAAAAAAGGAAATGGCAGGAGCTGTGGTCAATCTCTCCTTTTACCATCAATGAAGGAACATCTGTCAAGTTATGAGACACCTTGACACCGATGACACCTTGTTTATTTACTGAACTCTGGCAACACCAAGGGATTTGCACATATTCTCCATTTTCAGCTCCTTCTTAATTGTCTGTTGCTTTATGGTTTCTTTATTTCATTATAACACCTTTTTTCTGTAAATATTTTATTGGCACCATTTAGACCTTTTCATTATTAAACCTACTTTTGAAAAGTGTTAAACTGTCTCTAAGGCTTTTATTGCAAACTAAAGAATCCCTGTCTTTTGAAGAGTGCTACTGTATGCACTATATTCAAAAAGTATTGGTCGGCCGGCCTTTACACGCACATGAACTTTAATGGCCTCCCAGTCTTAGTCCGTAGGGTTCAATATTGAGTTGGCCCCGCCCTTTGCAGCTATAACAGCTTCAACTCTCCTGGGAAGGCCGTCCACAAGGTTTAGGAGGGTGACTATGGGAAGGTTGGACCATTCTTCCAGAAGCACATTTGTGAGGTCAGGCACTGATGTCGGGGGAGGAGGCCTGGCTCACAGTCTCCGCTCTAATTCATCCCAAAGTTGTTGTATGGGGTTGAGGTCAGGACTCTGTGCAGGCCAGTCAAGTTCCTCCATCCCAAACATGCTCACCCATGTCTTTATGGACCTTGCTTTGTGAACTGGTGTGCAGTCATGTTGGAACAGGAAGGGGCCATCCCCAAACTCTTCCCACAAAGTTGGGGGCATGAAATTGTCCAAAACGTCTTGGTATGCTGACGCCTTAAGAGTTCCCTTCACTGGAACTAGGGGGCCAAGCCCAACCCTGACAAACAACCCCACATCATAATCCCCCCCCCTCCACCAAACTTTACACTTGGCACAATGCAATCAGGCAAGTACCGTTCTCCTGGCAACCCACCAAACCCAGATACATCCATCAGATTGCCAGACGGAGAAACGTGATTGGTCACTCCAGAGAGCACATCTCCGTTGCTCTAGAGTCCAGTGGCGGCGTGCTTTACACCATGGCATCTGACGCTTTGCATTGCACTTGATGTAAGGCTTGGATGCAGCTGCTCGGCCATGGAAACCCATTCCATGAAGCTCTCTATGCACTGTTGTTGTGATAATCTGAAGGTCACACCAAGTTTGGAGGTCTTTAGCTATTGACTGTCTAATCTTGCTGTACCACCAGAAAGGATGACAATCCGGTACAGTCTTATGCAGCTGGGAACAGGGGGCATGTGTTTATAATGTTTTTTTATATATATATACACACAAAATGTTTTGCCTTTCATTTCTAGTTTAAACTGATTGGGTTGTTTTACAAGGTGAGGGTTTACAGTCACTTTAATAGTCAATAACACTCACCATCTGATTTCTGCCGTTGTGGTTCCTCCTCCTCAGATCCTCCTTTCTTCAGGAACTTGATGAGGTCATTGAAGATAATGTAGAAGTCTATTGCAAAAACAATTGTTGCTATAAAACCTAAAACCTGCAAATCAGAAAGGGGCGATCAGTCACGATGCAGCGAAATACAAAATATTACATAGCAGCCAACTCCTCCCAATTTTGGATGGACAACAGTGAGCTGCTTTTTTTTCTCCCTTTTGAGACCCTAATGAGAACATTTTACTCTTTAGTAGTTACAGTGTCAGCCTCTTCCACAAGGCCATCACAAGCAGGAATGTGCACTCAAGGGGTGTACAATCTAAGGTCCCTAACTCACATTCATACATATACTAGGGCCAATTTAGACAGAAGCCAATTCAACTATCAGCATGTCTTTGGAGTTTGGGAGGAAACCAGAGTAGCTGGAGAAAACTGACACAGGCACTACATGCAAACTCCAGGCAGGTGGTGCTGTGGTTGGGATTTGAACCAACGACCCTAGTGATGTCAGACGGAAGTGCTAACCATTTAGCCACTATGTTGCCCAAAGACATCCAAAGAGAATGATGGTTGGCCCCGCCATCTTGGATGAGATGTCGGCAGCCTGACCAACTCAAATAACCCATTTTAGCAGTCTCTCTCAAAATTTTTATCATGGAGGATCCCTTAGAATTCTATTCAGGTCTCAGGGAACCCCTGCCAGGCAGAAGTGCTAACCATTTAGCCACCTACCACCTACCAGCATGTCTTTGGAGTGCGGAAGGAAACCGGAGTACCTGGAGGAAACCCACCCACATAGGTGTACACTCCAATACGCCCGTGTGAATGGGGCATCTACTGTATCTATCAATCATGTAGTAGACTTCATTTAATGGACACATAATGATCCTCAGGTTGAAGGAGATCACTTACCGCAGCAGCTTTGGATGCCGCACAGGAGTATTTGGACACGGCTACAAGAGACACCACGAAGTAGATGATGGCGGCCGATACACAGCGAATGAAGTCCTGCAGGAAACATCTCTAGGTTAACAATGAGTCAGTGAATGTGTAAACACAGATCATTCGTCCCGGGACAGGCGCGCGGTTAATGCACTTTCATCAAACACAAGTGGCGGGATGTTCTGTGCGGATGAAATGCGCCAAGTCACATGATCACGCCAGCGCTATCATTTCACTTCCCAAGACTTCTACATAAACACATGGTGTCATCCGTCCGGACACTGAAAAAAACCTGCAATGAGAGAACTGTGAAGGATGCCACTGCTATACTTTCTCTTTCTGAAAATGCAACCTAGCTGGTCGTCATCTCGATCCTCTGGCTTCAACAGACAGAAACCTGCAAAAAGTATACAGGCATCTGACTTTCCTATATTGCATACTTCTCACTGACTGATCGGTGTCTCAAAGTACTGAAATTAAAGGGCTAGTGTCACAGCCAGGCACCCGGCATTTTCAGAAGCAGAAGATGTCAGTGGCAGCCTTTAAGTTCTTATCATGTCAGGTTACCTACATGAGCCACTTTGGCTTGTAAACATGGCGGCACGGGTGAAAAATCATTGCGCAGATGATCATGTGACATGGCTGCTAGTTGTCATGCTGATCCGCTGGCTTCAATATTTTTGCTGGCAGTGAACCAAAAACAGCATGCAGATCAGGAATTCTCTATACTGTGACATGTGATTTGAGGCATGCTTGTTTTGGGTCAGTGGGAAAGTATTGCAGCTGGGAACAGCCAGGGAACTAGCATTTTCAACAGGATGTTGGCAATGGCAGCCAACCCAATGAACATGCCGGTGGTTACATGTTGCTGGAAGTATGAGGAATGGATTTATGTTACTGTTATCATCAAAAAGGACTTTAGTTACTATAGTTTTGTATTAATGCAATGGACGCCAGTTTTTACAAAGCATGCAGCCAATCAGAGCTCTAGGACTCATTAATGCCCGGCACTGCTGATATTTACTAGATCAGGGGTCTCCAAACTGTGGCCAGAGGGCCAGATGTGGCCCTCTGCCGGCTTTTATCCAGCCCTTGGGGCTCTGTTCCTTCCACTGATATGAGGCACTATTCCTCCCAATGACACCAACCATTAGGCGCCATTCACACACCTACTGAGCAACATATCAGACTGGATGTCACTCCACTTCCTTAAACTGAACCTCTCCAAAACCGAGTTTCTTGTCTTCCCCCCAGCCCGGACACCACCCCCCATTGACTTCTCCATCACATCCAACAACGCCACCATCAAACCCGCCCCGCAGGCCAGAGTACTTGGTGTCATTCTGGACTCCAACCTATCCTTCCAGCCCCAAGTCCAATCTTTAACAAACTCGTGCAGACTCCACCTCCGCAACATCGCCAAAATCCGCACGTTTCCTAACCCCAGAAACCACTAAACAGCTCATCCACTCCCTCATCATATCACGACTCGACTACTGCAACTCCCTCCTCACTGGCCTGCCTCGCCGCTGGCTATCCCCGCTTCAGTCCATCCTGAATACGGCTGCCAGACTCATTCACCTTTCCAACCGCTCCATCTCCGCCACCCCCCCTCTGCCAATCCCTCCACTGGCTTCCGATTGCGCAACGGATCAAATTCAAAATCCTAACACTGACATACAAAGCCGTCCACCATACTGCCCCGAACTACATCACTGACCTAATATCCAAGTACCGCCCAGCATGCACACTCCGCTCCTCACAAGACCTCCTTCTCTCTAGTTCCCTGGTCTCCTCCTCCCATGCCCGCCTCCAGGACTTCTCCAGGGTGTCACCCATCCTCTGGAACTCCCTGCCCCAACCCATCAGATTATCACCTACTCTCCTCTCCTTTAGGCGCACCCTGAAAACCCATCTCTTCAGGGAAGCCTACCCCACCCCCTGCTAACCTGCCGACCTCCTCCACTCTTCCTACCACTCCATCCCCCACAGCTATCTCCTCCTGTACCACCATCCCCTCCCTCCTAGATTGTAAGCTCGAAAGAGCAGGGCCCTCGATCCCCTCATGTGTTGCATTGTATTGGTATTGTTCTGTCACATGTTCTGTCCCCCTTTGTAATGTACAGCGCTGAGCGAACTATTGGCGCTTTATAAATACTGTATAATAATAATTCTTCCAAATGACACCAACGATGGGGCACTATTCCTCCCAGTGACACCAACCATTAGGCACCATTCTTCCAAATGACACCAACGATGAGGTACTATTCCTCCCAATGACACCAACGATGAGGCACTATTTCTCCCCACTGAAACCAACAATGGCACACGCCCACGGGTCCGCAGGTGAACCTAGGGTCAATCATTGGCTGGGACTTCCTAACAGACACCCCAGTGTGTACAATCACAGCAGGGGGGGGCGAGCATGCCCATGCCCTATACCCAGAAGTAGGCACAACGTGCCAGTACATTGCCGTATCCGCAAATCTGCAGGACAGTGCAAGCAGATGGCCCGGAAACAGTTAAAATGAGGTATAAATTCCATCAGCATCCTGATGAGGGGGAAAGACATGACCAAGGTTGGCAAAATATAGGAAAATTAAACTTCAGCTTTGAAAACCACCAAAACGCCAGCATGCGATTCAACCACACAGAACCAAAAACTTTCCATTTTACCTTTTCCTGTGACTCAATGTAGACTGGAGGAACAGCTTGTATGAAAAGGAGAAGCCATGGTTAGGAAAGGGGAAACACAATTCTTGCAGAGTCACTTGGCTGGTTATAAGAAGGGGATTCTTACATTCTGCAGGATGACGTCACCACTTACCAGCAGAGGCCACAAGATTCCCTTCAGCTGCTCGTTCAGTTTAGTAGAATATGCAAAAAATGTAAAAAGAGCCCAAAGGAACTCTATGAGAGGGACGGTCATCAGACTGACAGCGGTCGATACGATGTAACAGATGAACGTCAGAAAAGACACCACCTGCCAAAACAAGAATCAGAAAAGAATTTTAATGGAGAAAATGCAACTGAAATAAAACCTGAAAGTTACTTTTTGTTTCTTTTTTTTTTTTTTTTTTTTTTTTAAATACTGCTTCACCCATTGTGATTTCAGGTACCTATATAGCGCCGTCAATTTACGCAGCACTTTACCTGCCACACCTGCCAACACAAGAATCAGAAAAGAATTTTAATGGAGAAAAAGCAACTGAAATAAAACCTGAAAGTTACTTTTTGTTTCTTTTCTTTTTTTTTTACAACAAATACTGCTTCACCCATTGTGATTAAAGAGACCCTGTTGTCACCAGACAGATTCCTTCAACATGAATCTTCCCAAAAGATAACATGTGCACGTTAGTTATATGTAAAAGCCTGCCTTGTTCAGACATTTATTTATTTCAGGTACTTATATAGCGCCGTCAATTTACGCAGCACTTTACATATATATTGTACATTCACATCAGTCCCTAACCCTCAAGGGGCGTACAATCTAAGGTCCCTAACTCACATTCATACATACACATACTAGGGCCAGTTTAGACAGGAGCCAATTAACCTACCAGCATGTCTTTGGAGTGTGGGAGCAGGGGCAGACTGACAACTCATGGGGCCCCCGGCAATAGGGGATCATGGGGCCCCTGTGTCCTTGCCCAAACTCAAAAAAGCCTATAAAAAATGTACCAGGGGCATTTCATGGGGACCCCTACTGACCCCAGGCCCTCAGGCAGTGCCCGAGTTTCCAAATGGTCAGTCCGCCCTGTGTGGGTGGAATCCAGAGTACCTGGAGGAAACCCACGCAGGCACAGAGAGAACATGCAAACTCCAGGCAGGTGGTGCCGTGGTTGGGATTCGAACCATTGACCCTAGTGATGCCAGACGAAAGTGCTAACCATTTAGCCACTGTGTTGCCCAAAGACATCCAAAGACGCTGAGAATGATGGTTGGCCCCGCCATCTTGGATGTGATGTCGGCAGCCTGACCAACTCAAATGACCCATTTTAGCAGTCTCTCTCAAACTTTTTACCATGGAGGATCCCTTAGAATTGTAGTCAGGTCTCAGGGAATCCCTGTTAAAAAGAAAAAAAAAAAAAAAAAGATTATAGCTACAGCTCATTATTCATTAGCCACACCACACTGGTGGACAACAAGAGAAGGTCCTCTTTGCAGTGGTGGTCAGTGGAAATAATGCCCCTGTAACACTGGTGGTCAGTGGAAGGAGTGCCTTGTTTTACACTGGTGGCCAGTGAGGAAAATGTCCATTACAATGGTGGTCCATGAGAAAAATGGCAATGATGGGGCACTATTCCTCCCACTGACACCAATGATGGGGCACTATTCCTCCCACTGACACCAATGATGGGGCACTATTCCTCCCACTGACACCAATGATGGGGCACTATTCCTCCCACTGATACCAATGATGGGGCACTATTCTTCCCACTGACACCAATGATGGGGCACTATTCCTCCCGCTGACACCAACAATGGGGCACTATTCTTCCCACTGACACCAATGATGGGGTACTATTCCTCCCACTGATACCAATGATGGGGCACTATTCTTCCCACTGACACCAATGATGGGGCACTATTCCTCCCACTGATACCAATGATGGGGCACTATTCCTCCCACTGATACCAATGATGGGGCACTATTCTTCCCACTGACACCAATGATGGGGCACTATTCCTCCCACTGACACCAACAATGGGGCACTATTCTTCCCACTGACACCAACGATGGGCAAGATTTATTCTATTGGCACCAACGATGGGGCACAATTCTTTCCATTGACACCAGTGACGGGGCACTATTCCTCCCACTGACACCACTGATGGGGCACTTTTCCTCCCACTGACAACAATGATGGGGCACTATTCCTCCCACTGACAACAATGATGGGGCACTATTCCTCCCACTGACACCACTGATGGGGCACTTTTCCTCCCACTGACACCAATGATGGGGCACTATTCCTCCCACTGATACCAATGATGGGGCACTATTCCTCCCACTGACACCAACAATGGGGAACTATTCTTCCCACTGACACCAACGATGGGCAAGATTTATTCTATTGGCAACAACGATGGGGCACAATTCTTTCTATTGATATCAGTGACGGGGCACTATTCCTCCCACCTGAAATCATTGATGGGGCAGTATTCCTTCCACTGACACCAATGATGGAGTACTAGTCTTCCTACTGACACCAAAGATAGGGCATTGTTTATTCTCACTGGATGTTAGGATATTTTCTACTCCCCCTGGCCCTAGTCTAGCCCCCCTAAAGTCTGAAGGACAGTAAACTGGCCCTTTGACTAAAAAGTCTTGAGACCCCAGCTCTAAGGTAACATTTGGAAGTGTCTGTATGGAGAATAAACATGCACGCTTGGCCAGTATTGTATGGCAGTTGAAACGCTTTGTTTTTATTATCATTACTATTATAAAGGATTTACAGTGGATATACTATAAAAAGTCTACACACACCCCTGTTAAAATGTCAGGTTTCTGTGATGTAAAAAAATGAGACAAATAAATAATTTCAGAACATTTCCACTTTTAATGTAACCTATAAACTGTACAACTCAGTTGAACAAAAAAATGAAATCTTTTAGGTGGAGGGAATTAAAAATAAAAAACTAAAATAATACGGTTGCATAAGTGTTCACACCCTTACACTAATACATGGTTGAAGCACCTTTTGATGTGATTCCAGCACTCACTCTTTTTGGGGAGGAGTCTATCAGCATGGCACATCTTGACTTGACAATTTTTGCCCGCTCTTCCTTGCATAAACACTCCAAATCTGTCAGATTGCGAGGGCATCTCCTGTGCACAGCCCTCTTCAGATCACCCCACAGATTTACGATCGGATTCAGGTCTGGGCTCTGGCTGGGCCAATCCAAAACTTTCATCTTCTTCTGGTGAAGTAATTCCTTTGTTGATTTGGATGTATGTTTTGGGTCGTTGTCATGCTGAAAGATGAAGTTCCTCTTCATGTTCACCTTTCTAGCAGAAGCCTGCAGGGTTTGTACCAATATTGACTGGTATTTGAAACTGTTCATAATTCCCTCTACCTTGACTGAGACCCCAGTTCCTGCTGAACAAAAACAGCCCCAAAGCATGATGCTGCCACCACCATGCTTCACAGTGGGTATGGTATTCTTTTGGTGATGTGCAATGTTGTTTTTGCGCCAAACATATCTTTTGGAATTATTGCCAAAAAGTTCAACCTTGGTGTCATCAGACCAGAACACAGTTTCCCACATGCTTTTAGGAGACTTCAGATGAGTTTTTTCAAAATTTAGCCGGGCTTGGATGTTTTTCTTCATAAGAAAAGGCTTCCATCTTGCCACTCTACCCCATAGCCCAGACATATGAAGAACACGGGAGATTGTTGTCACATGTACCACATAGCCAGTACTTGCCAGATATTCCTGCAGCTCCTTTCAAGTTGCTGTAGGCCTCTTGGCCGCCTCCCAGACCAGTTTTCTTCTCGTCTTTTCACCAATTTTGGAGGGACGTCCAGTTCTTGGTGATGTCACTGATGCGCCATATTTACTCCACTTGATGATGACGGTCTTCACTGTGTTCCATGGTATATTTAATGCCTTGGATATTGTTTTGTATCCTTCTCCTGACTGATACTTTTTAACAATGAGATCCCTCTGAAGCTTTGGAAGCTCTCTGCGGACCACGGCTTCTGCTGTAGGATGCAACTAAGAAAATATCAGGAAAGACCTACTAGAACAGCTGAACTTTATTTGGGGGTTAATCAGAGGCACTTTAAAATATGGCGGGTGTGTACTGACTCCTATTTAACATGATTTTGGATGTGATTGCTTAATTCTGAACACAGCTACATCCCCAGTTATAAGAGGGTGTGCACACTTATGCAAACACATTATTTTAGTTTATTTATGTCTACTTCCACCCCTAAAAGATTTCAGTTTATAGGTCACAATAAAGGTGGAAAAAGTTATGAGATGATTTTATCTTTGTCTCATTTTTTTTTACATCACAGACCCCTTATGACTAAGTCCTGAAAGTGACGAAACGCGTCAAGGGAAGTGACGTCGGACGCACAGAGAGGAATCGAAAGTGGCGGATCAGCCATCTTGGACACTGGAAAAATACATACCAAACATCTAGGAAGCTGCTTGGTGACCAGAGAGGTCTGAGGGCATGGGAATAAGGCAATTTGAAACGATTTTAATGTAAGGATTTAATTAAAGTATATTTTGTTAATGCCACACGGTATTACATTATATATTTTCTTATATACCATCCGCATATCGATGGAAATATGGGTACTGTCAGCAATATGGAGTGCCTCCTAATCAGCCATGATGACATCTAAGGGAAGGTGGTTGATGACATCTTAAAGAGCGAGATTCAGGCTTGGAAGGATTTTCATTTGAGGAGTGTTATATAATACATCAGCGATTTTTAAGGCGTGTTTATTGTTGTTTTTTGGTTCTTATTTTCTGGGGCAGCCAATAGGTAGTGTCAGGAATGGACTCAGCACTCGTGGTGGGACTCACCTGCTGTGTGGGCTGCAGTACCAGGGCTGGCCAGCGGGTGCTCTCAGCAGTCAGATGCTCACTCCTGCAATCAGCCATCACCTGAAGCTGATTGCAGGAGGTGTATTTAAGGAATGGCCAGAACAGCAGTCAGGGCCTTGGTGTATGTTTCCCATGAGCCCCCTGTACCGTGTATCCTGTGGTCCTGTTCTGCTGACTATCTGATTTGTTGCCGACCCTGCCTGATCCTGACCTCTGCTGACTTCTCCTGCTTGATCCTTGGCTTACCTGACCATCCTTCTGCCTGATCCTCTGTACCGCGCTGCCCGTGAGTTACTGAACCCGGCTTGTGACCCTGACTATTCTCTGCCTGCTCCTCCGGTACCTCGCTGCCCGCACGTTGCTGACCTGGCCTGCCTGACTACGCCTGACGCTACCCAGATGATCCATCCATCC